GATCTCCTGGCTCAAATTGAGAAGCCTTCGGAGTGTCTCGTCTTCATGGCGTCCAAGAAGTGCCCGCTCTGCTGGGCCAACCCTGAGGAGCCTCCGTACATGCACTCTCCGTCCAAGGGATCACCTACACCGACACTCAAGGCGGTGCTGATCCATGATTTGGCGCTCTATTACAAGATGGAGGAAGCCAATCAGGCTTGGCTCAATCAAAAGACAGTCACAGAACTGAAGTTCTTGCACCGGAAGGCATACAACAAGATTCCTCATCCAGCTTGTCCTATTACAGGACTTTCCAAGATGAGCAAACCAGAACTGCAGGCAGTGATCCGCCAACACGACCTGATTCCCACAGGAAAAGGGACAATTGGTGAGATGCAGTTCCTTCTTCGCTCCCATTGGGAAGTTCAGTGCGAGATTGGCAAGCAGGAGAACAAGACTCAGGCAGCGCCTGTGAAGCAGCAGGGCAAAGAAGCGGAGCGCAAGAGGTTTTCTCGTGAAGCGGAGTGGGAAGTAATTCCACCCAGTGACGCTGTGTGCCACGAAGTGCCGACTTTTTCGGCAACAACCCCAGCCCTTGAGCAGAAACAGCGCCTTCCTACGATGACTCCTACGATGGCTCCTACGATGACTCCTACGATGACTCAGGGTCGCGGTTACATCTCATCAGTCCTCATTCTTGAGCCACAATGAGAGATGCGCAAATGAACTTAATTAAGTTATCATTGATACATAGCTTGCTGACTGGCAGCTCGCGTGAAAATGCTGTGGTTGGCAGGGGCATGTCTGTTAGTAAGTCTTACTGTGTCTCAGGTAGGTGGTCAACATGGCCCTCCCACCTGACCCTCCCACTGCAGTGGACAGCAACATACTGCCTCCCCTTCCCAGCGCAGGTGGGGACGCACCTGAGCAACACTGAGGGGGAACTTCGGGAGCGTGCAGAGATAGTGCAGGCATTGAACAACATGCAAGCCTTCCAGTGGGCAAGACTTTACGAGGCAGACACTACTTCTGGACAAGGACGCTTGCGTGAGATCACCCGTGGCCTGATGTCAGCAGAGAAAATCAGAAAATCAGCAACCCTGGAATTGCGCAAACTCTCCACAAGTTTGTGGGGCGCTTTCAATTGGGGTGCCTGGGAGGCATTGTGTTTACTGTGTGTTGCCAGTGTGCCTCATGACTCATCAAGGCCCTGTTCTGCGCAAAAAACCTGATCATTTGATTAACAGTTTAACAGTGCTGATTATGTGTTTTTTCCACAGAGGTAACGCATCTCACTCCCAGGATTAGATTCCTTCATCCCAACCTCACGACTGCTGCCTACTATGCCAATGGATGGCCATGAGCTTGGTGGCAACACCTTAATTTGGTGCACTGATGAAGAATCCTCTTTGGCCCTGGCTAAGCGGTATTTGAAGAGTTCAGGTGTGCGGGTCAAGCTGGACAGAGACTTCAGCCATCGCCTCTACAATAGCCACAAACAAGCTGTTGCGCACGCGCACTATGAGGACACAAATGCCAAGATCCTATTTTTGTCACGTGTGAACAGGACGCCATACGGTTCAGGCCAGAGCCTACACAAAAAGAAGGAACTCATGGCCCAGATGGCCGAGACCTGTGAAGCTAGTCCTGCTGTGTTGCAGATGGCGGAGGCCGGCCAGCAGTTTGACCAGTGGGGCGATGCGAGCCACACCTCCGACCTTTTGGCGGACCTAGTGACAGCGGCAAAGACCGTCCAGCACAAGACTGAAGGGGTGCCTTCCTTTGCACTTTGTTTTGTGTGACATGCGCGCCTCTGCTTAGCTTGGCTAAGTGCTATTATTGAGTTGTTTGTTTAACTTGTCATTATCTTAGCTTTGCCACATCCCAACTAAGATGGACACCAAGCGGTTTTGGACCTTGCAGAAAGAGTTCCGCTCAATTGACACAAGCTGGACAGCAGAAAGGCTCAGCCTTCAAATCTACTATGAGTCAGAGGGCAAGAAGAAAGATCTAAAAGAGGCTTGCCAATCAACTCAACCTGAAGAAGGTGAAGAGAGCCTGGCCAAATTGCGGCGAAAAATTCCAAAGACTTTGCCTTTGGCCTACAAGATTTTGCGCGACCGCATGGTACAATTCCGGGGGCGGCAATTGCACATGGCAGGGTTGGTTGGTCTCCTAGAAGATTACGAAGCACTGCAAGCCCAGAAAAACTTGGACAAGTGTGTGCAGTACAACGCAGAGAGGAGTGTGAATCGTGGTGCCCACTTGCTTCGTGTGTGGCAAACACTATGCACTGTTGCTTGTCTGATTCTTTGTTCACTTCCCCAATCTTAGTTATAATAACAAATATAACCACTGCTTCTGCAAACCCCGCATATACATACAATGGAGTGTTTGGTTAGTAGGTGGGGTGAGGGTTGTTTTTCCGTTGTGTCCTGGGGTTGTCAGGATATGTCTTTGCTGCCAAATTTGGGATTCCAGCATCCTCACGGATTGGAATCAGTACCGCCAGAGCTTGTGTCTGGGGCTGTGGCTTTAGCGCAAGACTTTGTGAGGTTGATTGTGGGCCACATGTCAGAATACAGCTGGGACTGGACCTATTGGAGTGATATTTTTCCAAACCGATTGGGTGGCTTGTTGCGCAACGACCAAGAGAAACTGAAGCGCTGCAAGCAAGAGATCCGCAAGCTGTGGACAAATATTCTGGCCTTGGAGAAATTGCTCTTCACTGAGAAAGGCACTACAGCAGCTGATGTCGAGCGCCAGTTGTTAGCGAAAGAAGCCACTTAGCCGCAAACAGCGCGGCTGTACAAAATCATGGATGTGTGCTCTGACCAGTTTACCCGCTGCTTGGCAGCATCTGTTCTTCTTTTTGGGGTTCCACAAGGGGGGCTGTTGCTTTGGCGCAGTGGGTTTCCCCGAAACCATTGCTTTTCTTGGACCCTGCGTCTGAGGTGAACTGTGTATGCACTTTGAGGAAACCAAGTGGAGCGACCTTGCTGAAACAGCGAAGAAGATGTTGAGGGAAGCTTTCGGCCCAACAACTACCAAGGTGTATTGTGAAGACGTTTTCAGGGACTTGAGGCGGAGCTTTGAACACATTCCCACATCTCAAGTGACTATGTGGAATCGACAGAGTGGGGTGGCCAAGAGTTTGGAAGGTCGTGATGAAAAAATATCCTGCCAGTCCTGACAGCGCAGGAAAGCACATTGCAGAGGCTGCAAAAACTCAAGCACAAGAGGCTCATCTCTACTGGGATCTTTACCCCCCCGGGGAACCAAGCGAAAGCCCGCAAAGCTTTCGAACATGGGCAATGCTTTGACATCGGCTTCGCAGATGCTGAGTTGGGAGTTGCTCCTTTGGTGGATATGGGGCCCTTACTTGGCAAGCGTAAGAAGGACCAGAACGACAAGGCGCCTCCCAAAGCAAATGGTGACAGAGATACTTTGCCCCTGTTTCTGCTTCCAGCCACCAAAGAAACTTTAAGGAGCACAGCCTCTTCGCTGGCTTTTGTCGCAAGCTTGTCAGACGTGGCGAGCTTGGAGGCTGTGGAGCAGGAGCTGGGCAGGACCTGGCTGGGACAGGCTTTGCATCTGGGCTATTGTTTTCTCATCAAGAATGAAGTTTGGCTCTCCCTGGGATTCTGTCAATTCGCTGCTCTAATGTGGAAATTGGAGGCGGTGCAAGTGGCTGAGGGTTGGGAGCAGGTGTTCTTTTGCGAGAGCGGCGCGTTCGGGGACTCGGAGCTGCGCTGGTTTACAGTATGTGAGCTTCGTGAAGGTGGGGCCAAGGGGTGCATCACTGAGATGACTGTGTTGCATGGCTGACATTATGCAGGAACGCGCCTTTTCCATGTCGTTGTGATGTCTTCTTGCAATACAAGCATATGTAACTGTAACGCTGGTGGCTCTCATCCTGTTTTTTCTCCTGGGTGAAATAGATTTTGACATGATAGTTAAGTTATGCGTGTGATGTGGAAGTGCAGGGCTGTGGCTTGTCATTTGTTACAAGGGCGCTAGACTATATTCTTGACTGTGATGCTTCTAAGTCTAAAACAGGTTGTTTGTCACCTAGTTTTTGCCTGGCCATTGTAATAAACTGGCTGTGACACTGTTGTCTAGCAACCTCTGCCCTGACTGTGGCTGTAGCAAAGATGTTGACTGCAACACAGTAGTCTAGGATCCTGTTGCTGGACGGACCATGGCTGAAGGTAAGTATGCACGCAGATGGGACAGCAATGCGGTTATCCATCAACCTATTTTTGCACTGGCTGGGGCTGAATTTTCTACAAGGGTAAGTGGAGCGCGCGGTCAGCTGCTGACCGTGGCTGAGGCTGCGCAGGCAAGCGCGTGTCAGTGTAACGCTTTTGTCGGCCAGCCTGTCTGACAGGCTGGGATTGCGCAAGCTTGCGCAACACACTTTGACAGCGCGCCTGTTTTCGCACCATGACTGAAAAGGAGCAAGCGCGTATCACGGCTAAGGCTGCGGTCTTTCAGCCCATGGCTGAAATTATGCAAACACATGTAATTGCAAGGCAGGCTCGCCCCCAGCATGTCTTTTGCAGCGTGGCTGAAATTGCGCAACAGCGTGCAACGCGCTTTCGCCGCGTGCCTCCTTTTGTGCCATTGCCAACATTCAGCAAGCGCATGGGCAAGGCCCAGATTGTCAGCCTGATTTGTTTGAGAGCCAGATGACTACGTTGATTTGTTTGTGAGCCTGATGACTACGTTACTCTACCCTTTCCCCTGTGTTTTGTGATGGTCAGTGTGGCCCTTGTTTGCTTGGAGTAATCTGGAATCCTGTAAGGCCCCAGAGTTTGCCCAGAACCCTTCAAGGAAGGGGCCTCAGCTGGCGCATTGTCGCCTCCTACACCTTGGAAGAGTTTGCTGTGCGGGCGCGGCTGCCGTTGAAAGCAGAATTTTGGGCGGCAGTTTGTCAGGTGGGGAGACTCGTGGCGTCGAATTGAAAAAAGACCTGAGTGAATGAAAGATTGTCTGTGTAAAACACACTGGTCTCAACTCAAATTGCTTTTTTTTAAACAGGTCATGAATTTTGTACAAATCAGACAACTCACCTGGTGCCTTTGGGGCAATAGGATTTGGACATGGCTGCAGATGGGTTCGCAAGAATCAATACAATGGGCATGAGCTATTGATTCTGCCTGGCCCCAGGCAGTGGGTGTGGCTGTTCCTCATGCGGGCGTGCGCGCAGAAGATGGTGCCCCCTTTGCCCGAGCGCTTGTGCAACATTTCGAGCCAGGCTCACAGCTGGGCACAAAGTCGAGCCAGAGTGTGTGTGGAACGAAAAACATGCCTCAAGAAGAGCCAAGACTAAGACCAGGGGTTCAATGGGATAGGTTTTGCCATGTGAGTGTGTGGGGCCTGGCGCAACAGTGAGAAGTGAACTGCCCAGGGACTGGTGTCAAACTCTTGCGCTCAGTCAGCCCGTTAATTTATGGTCATTGCAGGCTTGCCAGAAGACGAAGCCACGCTTTGGGTACACGACTTGGTGATTGTGAAGACCTCACGGCACTACCTGGGTGACAAAGACCTGGCTTTGGTCATGGATTGGATGTCTGGCACCGATCAAGAAGCCTTTGTCCAACTTGAGGCAGTGGACAAGCAACTGAGGAGCGCTGCTCTTGCCCCAAAGGACCGCCAAGAAACACAAGCTTTCTTGAAGCATCACCATACACCAGCAAAATACAAAGCGCCTGGACGCGTACGAGCATTTTGTTTTTTTCCGTGTTAGCTGACACGCTTAGTCTCCCAGGCCTCCAATCGCTTTGAAAAACTGTAGCTGTGTTGCTGGCTTCCATGAGGCCATGATTCCTGGAGGTGGTCTCCTGCCGCCCTCAGATGTGCGGCTTGTGGTGGTACCTCTAGCTGCAGGAGGTCAATGCGATGCCTTGGACGAAGATGATCAGGACATCGACACGTCTGCAGATGGCCCAGAGAATCGCATTTACATTGCGCAAGGCGTCAGCCTTGGCCTGTTTGTTCTTCTAGTCTGATCCTGGTGTCTCTAGTTAGTTTACAGGTGACTGGTCGAAGAGTCTTTTGAGCTGCTATGCATCGGTTTGTCTGTCAGCTCAGCCTGTCCACCTGAGTGCGCGCATGACTGCTGCCAAAGGTTCAATTAATTTCCTGTTGTCGCAGGCTGGTACAAAAACCCGGGAGTGCGACAAAGTAAGAGCGCCCGATTTGGTCGGGGGCTCCGCTCAGAACAGGCTGCCTTGTCGATTGTTCTCAAATGGATGAATGATATGCATGCTGAAGCTTTGCGGCAAGCCCAGTGCCTCAGCAGCATGCCCGGCTGCACTCTTTCCCAAATTTCGGTAGCGCATCCCTTTTCGTGGCCTTGCAAGTCTCCAGGTACATCGAAGAGCAAGACGTGCCAGAAGCTTACTTGCCACCAGCGCTGCCTGCTGAAGAAGAGCCTCCCAAGCCTGGACAGGGTCGTGGGCGAGGTAGAGGAAGAGGGAGACCCAAGAAGATCAAAGAAGCTGTTGGGGCAGAGCCTCTGCCTCTGCCGGATGAAGCGCGCGCAAAGAATGCGAGGAAGCGGAAGCAGCCAGAAGAGCCCGCCGCGGAGGAGCAGACGCAGGCAGCGTCAAGCTCATGTGCCAGAGCTGAAAGGACGAAGGGTGGGAAGCCGAAGTCGAGCAGCCCAAAGCCAAAGCAGCAGCCAGCGAAGCGAGGAAAAGCTGCAGACTTTGGCGCCAAGTTTCGCCAAGAGCAAATGCAGAAAGAAGTCAAAGAGAAAGAACAGCTCATAGAAAAGATCCAAAACGAGTTGAAAGAGATGAGAGAACACCCTGATATGGAAGTCAGCCCACAAGCGCGGGAGCTGGCCTACAAGGTGAAGGTGGCGCCTCGGTTGCAAGCATGCGCGACGGGATACAAGCTGGCATGTGTGACAGGGTTGATGCTTCGGAACGTTCTCTTGGGAACGTTCTCTTCTCAGGACATGCTCGCGAAACTGACCAAATTCATGAAGTCCTGAGAAGCTAGAGTTGAACAAAAGGAGAGTTTCGCTTTCATCTCTTTATGTGACTTGTTTGTTTGTTTGTCTGTCTCTGTCTGGCTGACCTGGGACTGTGTTTGTGATTTGATGAACAAAAAGCAACATGGGAACCTTGTGACATATACACAGGAAAACCCAAACACAGAAGTGGCTCCACCCGTTCGCGGGCCCGGCTATAGAGTCGAAGTGCTGTCTTGGTGTTTTTTCTCTTTGAATTCGAATTGCGCACTAAAGAGTTTTAAAACAGCGTCGGATTGCTAATAGTATATAGAACCTCCTGGGGACTTGCTGTTGGAAAGCTCGCGCGCTGGCTGAACCATCCTGCGACTTCTGCGCAGTATTTTTCTTTGGATTTGACTGTGCGCCTGGCTTCTTGTGTCGTTTCTTTGTCTGGCTTGTCGCTATGCTATTTTTATCAGTTGCATTGCTGGTGCCTGTTTGTTACTGTTGCAACTTGCAGCCCCACTTCCCTCAAGCCTTGTTTTGCTTTGTGCCTGGCCATGCCGGCTCGACGTGGCGCCTCTGGTACCTCACAGAATGAAGTCGACCGGGTGATGAGGTCTTTGTCCTTGAAGAAGTGCATTGAATGCCGCTCTTCTGGTGAGACCCGGTCTCTCAATAATGAGGAATGCCGCCAGCTTGTGGCCAGAGAAATGCGCAGCATGCAGGCGCGCGATGCTCAGAGAACAGCAAAAGTTTATATGCGACCCAGTCGACCCCAAGACATTAAATTGCTTACCATGCGCTTCCAAGGTACAATGCGCTGAAGGAGAAAATGTTGGAACCTTCTTCCGTTGAAGCAGTAGACAAAATAGTCTTTTTCTGGCACAATTGCTCTGTGCCGTTTGGCAGTGTGACTTGGTTGTGCGACGTCTTCAAACTCCACCTCCTGGCTGCTCGCCAAGCCTTCCAGACTGTAGAGCTCTGGTCGTACCAGACTTGCTGCGGACTGCCGGACAGGGTGAACTTGCGCCTCGATCGCATATCATTCGGCTGTCTGTCTGTGGCCAATTTTCTCTGATGGTCTGTCTGCGCTTGCTGGCTGACCCCATGCTTCACTCAGGCGTGATGCTGACGTGTTATGGTCCCGGGAAGCAGCTGCGCGGGCCTTGAGCGATGGATGGCGGGTGCAACATGTAGCGGACCGTGTTCGGCTCTTGGCGCTCGAAGGGGGAGGCTGGTTTGGAGAAGCTTGGCCCAATCTTTTTGCCCAGGAAGAGGGAGAGGGAGTGGCGCTTAGACTGAAGGGCAGACTGACGACTGACTGACTGACTGACTGACTGACTGAAAAGATTCAGCCAGACGAAAGAAAGAACACACATTATACTAATACCAGAAAACCAAGCGCAAAAATGAACAAACGTTGTATTCACACTTTTGTTTTGGTGTGACTTCAGGACCTGGACCAATTGTGGATCGATGTGCGCAAATTCAGCTGGGACCCACGCAGCCTGGGTCATCTTGCATGCTCTGCGCAAGTGCTTCGATGCCAGTTCCACAAGACATATTGGTTGAAGCACTTTCTTAGGAAAAGCGGGGAGGAAATATACTTCAGCGTGCCGCTGCATTTTCCACCTCATTCACCTGTTTTGGCCAGGGCCCAAACTCAGAAAGCGTCAAGCGCATGCCTTGAACACGCGTTGACAAATTGCTTCAGCTCACGAGGCTGAGATTGTGACTTGGTGGGTGGCCAGGATGAATGAGGCTGCGCCAGCTCCAGGCGAATACAATGTGGCTTGCTTGGGGCAGTATGT